TAAAAATTATTAAAACATACAAAAATAAAAACGAGCATTCGTTAGTTGGTTATCCAGGTCACACCACGTGGAGGTCAATGCTCGAGTGACCCGTGTACCACACTCTGGTGGATTTGGTATTAAGGAAAGAACGTAAAAAAAGTTTATGTATAAGGAAACAGAGATACAAAAAAAAACTTAGAATGTTATTCGCCATTAGAAGAATATGGTAGACGAAAATAGAAAGGGTTCTCCTCATATAAACTGTTAACAGCTATATTAAGGATATAAAAACGTAAATCGTTTATACTTGACAAGAGAACGACATTCTCAGCCTCTTTGGCTTCGGCTGCTTTAAATGCGCCGGCTGTGAACCTGTTCACGGCAGGAGCCACCACGATACAATAGCGACTCCTCCGTATTTACGAATATATCGACCAACTACGTTATCATGTAGTTGGACGATTAAACCATCTAAATTTATTTTTATTTAATTAGTAAATACTGTGTTGTTTAGTTCAATAAATATTTAATATTTTATATAATTACCAATAGAACTAGTTCTTGAAAAATTTTTACATTGGAATAGGATCTTGATGTTTCTGACCATACAGATAGCATCGATCCCTCCATCACCAGGTCGACTATTAATTGAAAGAATAAAAGTGAGTATTGCGTCATAATTATCAACTAAATAAAGAAATCACGCCGGAATAGTCAACGGTTAGTGCTTCGATATTAGAATGTATCCTATTCACCAACTTCCTAGCAGCAACCTCTCTAACGCAGAAAGGCCCCAATTTTCTACAGGAACATCAATAACTGATAGAGAAGAACGTTCAACTGTCAAAACAGTTGGCCACGAAGAGCTTTCAATTCTCTACCAGACTTCATTGCACTGATGTGGCAGCGTAACTTCGGATACATTATAACTCGGCAAGTACTCTATGAGAAAACTCACCCGGTATGTACGCATTTCATATTGCCTAGATCTTCAACTTCTTCAACTTCTTCGAAGCCGATTTTTATTAACTCTCCGATAGACAATCTTTCATGAATATATCCTAACTCAACTGAAGATAAAGAAGATGCCTCTCGGCGCATATGCAAGATTGGTTTTCCGACATTGATATTCAGCACATGATGAAAGATCACGTAGCAGTTTTAACGTATATAAAACGAATAAAGATTTTTGTTAGAAACAATAGAAGTAAATTGCTAACGTATATTTTATATAATATATAAAATATTTGAGTTTATTAAAAATATATATACTATATATATATGGGGTTGAGTCAATAGAAACCAAGCAAATATTTTTTAATGTTTTTTTTTTAAAATTTCAAACAAGAATAACTTAACAAAACTTGATTAAATTCAATAAATTTTTTTTAAAATTAATTCTACAAGTTTGTAAAAATTATTTAAAAAAATTTTTATTAAATTTGGTTAAGTTTTGGTCA